AAAGGATTACATTTGTTCAGTTGTTCTTCTGGGAAATATACAGTGGTACGGAAAACATCTAAAAATAACAATGAGGTGAAATCTGACCCTCTTGTTAGGGTAAGTCAGGTTTCTTGAGTCAATCACAATCTTCCACAAAAGGATGTCCCAACTGGCTTCTTCCAACCAGTGAAATAATGTCTAACAGTGCAACCTTTCTTTTCTTTTCTTTTTTTTGCCATCGAGTCACAGCTGACTTACAGCAATCCCATGGGGTTTTCAAGGCAAGGGACCTTCAAAGGTGTTTTGCCATTGCCTGCCTCTCTGCATCATGACTCAGGACTTCCGTGGTGGTCTACCATCGAAATACTAACCACACCTGCCCCCTGCTTAGCTTCTCTTCTGACATCTGACAGGACTGGGCTAGCCTGGGCTATCCAGGGCAGGGCAGTACAACCCTAAACAAAGTTATATCCTCCTAAATACATTGAAGTTAATGGATTTAGAAGGGTGTAACTCTTTTTATGATTACTCTAGAACACAATGCATCATAAACCAAGACAGACCCTGCATATTTAAGGTGCTATATTATTAATTGAGCAGGTCTCCAGCTCAGGCAAATTGACTGAAAACTATCGTTTAATAGTAACTGTAGATTACAATAAAAATCAAGCACAATCCAAACAACATTAAGCAGTTTAAGAAGCATTGATTTCCATACTATTGACTTAAAAGGCACAACTATAGATCATGCTCATAGTTTAGTATCTAAAGGCATCATCAAATGTATTCTATGACTTGAGTTCAGGAGCTATTTAATAGTGAAACCCAGTGCCGGATTTACGCATAAGCTAAATAAGCTACAGCTTAGGGCCTCGCAATCTGCTGGGGCCTCGAATAAAAACAAAATATAAAAAATGATTTTAAATATTATAAAGGCATATATATTTTAAATTTTTCTGAGACCAGGTGATGTAATTTAAACAGTAGGGGGCCTCTGGGTTTTGTATAGCTTAGGGCCTCAGCAAGTCTAAATCCGGCCCTGGTGAAACCCTAAAAACAGTTACACCCTTCCAAGGCTATTGAAGTAAATGGGCTTAGAAGCATGTAATTTTTTTAAAAGGACTGCATAGTAAATGCCCAAATTATTATGTGCCATCCTAAACAGAGTTATACTGATGCTTCAGTTCAGACTATCTAAATAGGTGTGGTTGAGATCACAGTATTAGGCCAGTTAATTGATTTTGATCTTCATAACATAACATGCTGCTATGAATGAATTTTTAACTATAACAGTTCTGATTAATACAGTTTTTCTTGCAGAATTAACAGGAAACATGACAAAAATCTAATATTCCAATCAATTTTTAAAAATATATATTACAAGATATCAGTAAGTGTTTTCCTTTGTATTAGCATGTCACAGCAGTTATCTATCTTTTCAGGTTGCTCTGATAAACTTACATCAAAGTATAATTACATTTGTCAAAGTATAAAAGGCAAAGAAAAAATTATTGTTGGAGTTAATGCCAGTTTTGAAGTCATGCTTTCTTAACAGGTCTTGTTGACTGCAGTTTTAGAACAATATAAATAAAGGGCTTGAAGACTGTGGATAGCATCTGAAACTATTTTTCAGATGCTATGTAAATAATTGTAACCATTCTAGTCAAAATGGCCCTGTCCAACTATTAGTTGTAAACTATTCCAGTTTTGGGGTCATTTTGACCAGAATGTCAACAGATGCTTGTGTTATGTGTGAAAAAATTCTCTAGATAATGTTTACAGTCTTCTAGCTATTTCTTTGCATGGTTATATGAATTCTGTGCCTCTGAGTTCAGACTATTAATCAATGAGATCCAACACCAAGCTGTTTCTCAAGTATGCTGTCTAACAACAACAACAACCCATATGTGCAACAACTGATAGAACATCATGCAATGAAGCACTAAGGAACTGATGAAAATAACTCTCTCAAATGCCTTTATTACTCTGCAGCAACCTGAGTTGTGTCTACCAAAGACTATTTGAGGGTTCTTTATATACTGCATTTTTAGGTGTACATCAAAAATGTTTATGTGTGACAAATCTGTATTTGCAAATAAAGTTATCATGCAGGTACACTAAACAAGGTGGCGAGACTGGCTGGACAAACATTGGTTGCCAGTCACATAAACAGCACTAATAAGGTGACCTAACAAAAGATGCGTTTTCACATTCATATTGTAAATAAATGGATTCAATGTTGTTTTCAAAATGTTCAATCTATCTCTGTTTACACAGTGTTACAGTGTTCTGATGATTTCAAGAAACTGACTATGACACATGTAACAGAAGATATGCTTCTTGTAGTCTGAAACCAACACTTAAATCTGTTTTTCTATGTATTTATATATAACAAAAAATATTGTCTCTCTTTATATTCCATTCCCTTTTGTTATGGCAGAGCCTTACATTTAAGATATTTTAACAATATAGTTCATTGTTTGACACTGATATTGCAATGAATAAACTTATTTTTTCCATGTTTTGGTTATGTTATGAATTGTGATAAGTATTATTCTCTCAACTCTTGATCTTGTACAAACATATAGATTAATTCGAGTGAATGTATAGGACTGTGTACTTAAATAAAAACTAAAGATCATTATTTCACAGGTTCCATTGCTGATAACCAGACCCTGTCATTTTCATACAGGCATTATCTTGCTTGTCTGCATAACAAATCTAGGAAAAATATGGACTCAAGGCAGCATTGTTGGTATAATGTTGCACTTCAGAATGAATTCAGATGCTGTACTTAATATTCTCTATGAAAACAATATGTTAAACCAGATCCTATATTACCATGTCAATAGACAATATAGCTTCCATTTGTTTGGATGTGTTGATCAAGCCAAGCTGCATTCAAGATGGCATCTGAACATGTGATGCTATTGTTTCAAGCTCCTCTCGAGGAAATTAAAGAGATACAAGAAGGGGGACCCGTGATACTTGTGGGGGGGAGGAGATGCTCCACGAGAGGAGAGGAAGGAGCCGCAGGTGAGCCTTCTCCCCTGTCCCCCCCATCCCTGGCACCCACGGCGAGGCCTGACCTCAGCCCGCCAAGCTTCCCCCTCCCCTAGCGGCGGTGGTTCCTCGCTAGCCCGCTGAACTCCCCCCCTGTGTTGGCAAGGCTTTGCTGGCCCACCAAGCTTTCCCCCTTCCCCCCTCAGCAGCAGTGGTGCTAGCCCACCGAACTTTCTGCTCCCCCCCCCAGTGGCGAGGCCTCACCGGCCCGCCAAACTTTCTCCCCCCCCCGTGGCGGTGAGGCTTTGCCGGCCCATCAAGCTTTCCCCTTTCCACCCTCAGCAGTGGCAGCAGTGAGGCCTTGCCAGTCCACCGAAATGTCTTCCTCCCTCCCCTCCCCGGTGGCGAGGCCTCGTCAGCCTGCCAAACTTTCTCCCTTCTCCCCACTGGCGGCAGCGGTGGCGAGGCCTTGCTGGTTGGCCAAGCCTTCTCCCCCCACCCCTCCCGCCACCACAATTCTAAGAGCGTTCCCTGCGTATGCGCAGGGGATGCTCTTTTACTTTTTTTGGGAATTTCAGTATCCCCCCTATAGTTTTTTTACAGTTTTTAGATTTTTCTGCACATCTGGGGATTGCTCCAGATGTGCAGGAAAATCTCCCTGCCCCCCAGGTGCCCCCGATGTGCAGATTTAGATATCTGCACGCAGGGGGCCCCTTCGCTATTAGATATATAGATGCAATTAAAAAATCCCCTATGGGGGGGGGGAAGTATCTGACAGCACAGAACAGCCTTAGTAAATGCAGGTTTTTAGATTAATTTAACCTAAGAGGTACACAATGGGTCTTGTTAATAAATTTAAACCTATTAGTCAATTTTTAATAAACAGGGCTCTTTCAGATTTTTTTATATTGAATACAACAACTTGCTATGGCTATCCACTATCAATGCTTCTGTTCATTCTCTTTACTGAGCCCTCACTATAGTAACAGAGGATAATTTAAGACCTCCTGAGGGCTAAATTCAGCTCTTCATTTTAAATTATACTACATACTGACAATATATCACCGACCCAAGTTAGTCCAGTGTTTGTTAGTATGTTAGACCAGCCTTTAAAATTCTGTAGCAATGTCAGGTTATAAACCCAGAACAGATGGGCATCATTGTATCTGTAGTGCATAAAACCTTGATACACAACCTTAAAGGGATTCCCTGGGAAGAACTACCAAATTTGTATTTGGCAATATGGGTAACTGAAAACTAGTAATAAATCTCTAAGCTTCTTGTCAAAACTTAGCATTTTTTAATTGTTCGGTTACCTTTATTGGCATTAACATAGGAAAATATATATAAATAGATAAAACACAAGGGGCGGACCCACGATACTCGCGGGGGGGGGGACCTCCACAGATGAGGCAGAGGAGGAAGCAGCAGGAGGAGGTAAGGCTCCGAAGCGAGGCCCAAGCGGCTTGCCGCTCAGGCCTCGCTGCCCCCCCGCCTCCAAAGTGAGGCCGCTTGGGCCTCGCTGCTCTTCCCTCCCCCCGCAGACTGAGTGCCTATTTTCAGGTTAAAGGTTTTTAGTGCGGCTGGAACATATTGGTACCCTCTTTCAGAAAAATAAAAGCATAGAAGTGCATTAAAATTTGCTTTAGCATTATTGTTACTCTACGTTGGGTCCATGATGTAGTAGCTTGGAAATGCAAACCTAAGTATTTAAAGTGTTTTACTTGTTTGAGCTCATGGCTGCCCACCTTCCAAGTGAATTGGTTCCTAGATTTGGAGATGACTAGCATCTCAGATTTGCTGCAAGAACTCTCTATAGGCAGGCTAAATATGAAGGAATACATCTCCATCCAGATGTTAATGGTATGGTATCAGACTGAATCAGAGGGAAGCTGCTTCCATGCAATTATGGAAAAGTATGAAGGAAGCCTTAATATGAATAGGAATTTCATCCCTACAAAAGACTCTGGTTTTGTTGAATTTAAAGCATGAAAGATAATGGTTCAAGAGTCTCATCACCATGAATTGCTTTCAATGGAACTAAAACATTAAGAGTACATTGATCAATTATAGGTCCTTTTGAATGGAAGGATATTCCAGACGGCTCTCTTACTCCGAACTAAACCTAGAACTGTGTTTCAATTTTAATCCCTTGGACTGAAATAGGCAAGTTAAGGCTGCCTGTTATGGAGGCATCTTAATGATCTAATATTAGTCTGACAGTTTATGTTACTGTTGCTAAGACAAATTTGCAGACCTCTGAATACATGAATGTGCTATTGTGACAGCTGTCATTAAGCTCTGAAAACCCATATAGTGATATCTTGTAACTGTCTATGATTTCCCATGTCTAACTATTCATCCTCTTCTCAAAAATCAGTACGTCTTCCAACTAAGTAATCCTATGACTATTTACACTTCTCAATTTCCAGTTTAAATCCCACAACTGGTCATTGTGTAGATATAACCTGCTATACTCTCACTCCAAATGGAGGTAGTCACAATAATTTAACCACTAGCAAATGAAACACAGAACATCAACTTGAAATTCCAAAATAGGCTGCAACTGGTAGCTTCCATGCACTCCCCTGCCTGGAAAATAGTACTCCAGGCATTTAACACATAGCATATTGACATGCACTTTGGTACTGCCAGATCACTGTTAACAATGTACAAATTTCAGCAATTGCTTGCAAAGAAATATTAATGGAATCCTAGCATTATAGAACTTGCTATGCAAAACAGATTGAGTACAAATTGGAAGCTTTGCTGTACATTTAATGACAGCTAGTATTTAAGATGGCATGAGCTGAGTAGAGCCAGCTGAGACATGAAGCTCAGAGGCACTCTTACTCTTCTTCGTATTTTCAGGTTTTTAGGGAGTGGTACACTTTGTGGGGGGGGGGATTGAGGAACACTTACACAAGCACAAGTGAGAGATTGGGTCCCTCTCCTATTAACAGCAGCCTGCTTTGATTGGAAATACCATAGCAAGGAGATCTTCCAAAGAGTAATCGAAAAAGGCACCCTTCTTCTCAAGAAATAAGGTATGAGTAATATGCAGTGTAGCAATGTTTATTTTTTACATGCCACAGATTATTTTCAGTACAGCCAGAATGCTATCTGATAAAGTTGCTGGGGAAAATAATCTAACAAAACTTTTTTATCCATTTCTAAAACAAGGTATATGAATGGTTTATTGTTAATCATGCCCAGTGAAGGCAAACTGAAAGAATGTCAAGAGCTTCAAGCAGCTTCTTAAGATCACCATTAGAAGGCTCACCAACCTTCTGCGATCCCTGGCATCTCCAGTAGAGGACTCTGTTCCGGCTGTTGAGTTAGAGTTGGCAGTTGCAACACCATTGGCAGTACTGGATACAGAGAGATTTGTTATGACACTTAATGGAATACTAGAAGAGATGCCTTCTGTGCTCTTCTCTGCAGCAGGCTCCGTTTGTTGCCCGTATGGGACTCTGAAAGAGAGAGTTCAGGGTTCATGCACCATTGTAAGGCACCTTCAATCAAAATTAATAGGACACAACAAAGGAGTTTTCAGCTTAAAATACCAAAATTGCGTTTAATTCATTCTCAGTGCAATACTTAGATTGGCAATTTATGTGATAGATAAGAATCTCAGAGGAATCAACCAGAACAATAAAATGCAGCATCTATGAAAAAGGCTGCTGTTTTGAAAGTTACTGGCATGTGTAAAGGAGTTTAACCAAATAATGAGTATGAGCAAAGGAGTAAAATCATTCTGCCATACCCAAATTAACAGGCTGAGAAAGCAGATGCAACAGTGAATCAATTTAAACACCTAGTAGGTCTGGGCGCATTTTGAATTTTTCTTCGTTGTGCCCAAGAAATCTCCTAAAGAAGATATATGGCTCAGAACTCAGGTCAGAGAAGCCAGCATTGTATAAATTTATAATCATTACATAGCCTGTTTTTTCAGCCCAAAAAGCACTCTAGTTAGCAGCAACAACGATCAGGAGATTGTCAGACAGAAATACAACTAAGAACTGCTCCTTTGATGCCAAACTTCGCAATTTGTATGAACACACGATGACCCCCTTACCTCATATACTGTCGGCCTGATGCTGTAGTATTTGAACTGACAGATGCAGGGCAAGAGGCAAGCTGACCCTCTGTGCCCAATGAGGTAGGTGAACCAAGGACAGTGGGTGAGGTAGCAGGAGATGCATTGCGATTGGCTGAAATGTAGGGACTGCAGAGGTCACTACTTCTACCAAATGAAGCACTGTAAGATAGCAGAAAATCACTTCCTTCAGACAAGGACTAATACACCGTTGCATACCAACACAGATTGCTGAGAGTATATTTAATCCATCAGCAAAATGACGACAAGTGAGATTAGAAATCAGCTTTATCAAGAAATGTACTCTAAACCCAAGCCTACAGACATAATTCCCTCGACTGAGTAAAAGGAACCAATCCAGGATGAAATCACTAGAGGCGGAAAAGAAACCGAACAAGAGAATAAACAGTAACATGGACAGTATTAGTTCAGTTGTACATTCTGCATTCACAGCTATTCTGTCTGGTAAAGAGCAGAATAACAACAAGAGAGTGAGAAGAAGGATCAGAAATACCCAAGGAAAACTGGGTGAAGAAGAACTTGATGAAGAAGGAAAAAGCTCAAATAACGATGTACAGGGAAAAGAATATATTACTGAGTGCAGTTCAAACAAAATGCAACTGATTTTAAAAGAAAAAAGTCTAAACACAAATGTGTATAATTTTCCCCGAGGATCCTCAAGCTGCCACTTATTGGCTGCTTCCACATTTAAGACAGTCTGGCACCAGCCAAAGCCCATACCTTTAGGAATTGGCCCTGGTGAGCAGAGGGCGCTGTCTTTAAAAGATGGATGCACTGCAGGCCATTTTGTTTGCTGGGACTTTTAATAGGGTGCAGACTGTGGTCATTTTTGAAAGGGGGAGAGGTTATTTGGGGACCACTTTATCCTGTCTTGAATTCTGATTTGTAAGCCATACTGAATGACAAGGAAAATAAGATATAAAGATTTGAATGAAGAATAATAAATAACAAGGTTGCGAATCCTCCAAAAACAGCTGAATGACAGACTGAATGTTTCCTCATAGACGTCCTTTATTTTAGGGTAATATTATCTTGGTCAACAGTAGACTAAGCCTATAATAAGCCAAGAACTTGGAAGCAAAGTACCTATTACTTCCTAGAAGGTTAGTAAGGTATGAACACCTTTCACCAAAAGCTCCAGACAAAATCAACTTGCTATGACTTGACCTCAGTAAATGGTCAAGGAACAGATCTGAAGAATTTCTTTAAACTGATGAATAAGTTCTATAGTGTAAGCATAGGCTATGTAGAGATGGGAGGGTTTACTTGTTAACACTGAAAGGATAATGTAAGTGCCTAGAGAACCGAGAACAGACCAGTAAACCTCCATAAATTAAGGAATAATGAACAGGAATAAGACAACAGAAATAACACAGCCCTTTACAGATCTTCTTTGGGGAGAGGGTAGAGAAACAGAGGTCAGGTCTTTGCATACTTGGTAATATTACATATAGGATGTGATCAGTGTTCCCTCTAAGCTGAGTTCGTGTGAGCTAGCTCACAGTTTTTTAGCCTTCAGCTCGCACATTTTTGTCATAGCTCAGGAGGAATGGCTCCAGAACAACTTATTTATGTAGTAGCCAAATCATTTGCTCACAATTTTAATGCCAGTAGCTCACAAAGTTGACTTTTTGCTCACAAGATTCCACAGCTTAGAGGGAGCATTGGATGTGATTATCTCTGCAATATGATGGGCTCAAGCTGTTTAGGAGATTTAATTGACTGGGTGTGATTTCACCTTATGAACAGCAAACATAACCTTCATTAAGCCAGTCTCAGCACCCAACCAGCATAAATTGCCAATAATAATTTAAAAATTATAATTTAGTCAGAAGAGAACAATGAACAGGCTAACAGCTGCCTCTGCAGAGACCTGTACGACAGGAGCAGCCCCAGCTCTCTAAATTCAGACTTTGTTCTCTCCTCTACCCTTGGAAACTCTGGAAAGGAAGGGAGGCCCAAATGCTTCTTGGGAGGTCCCTGCCCTGGCACTACTACTGATGCTGAAGCAGCTAGAACAACCATCAACACCATCAAGAGATAGCAAGTCTATCAAGTCCCCTCTTATACCTGCTGTCAAGTCGGCTGACTGAAGGAAGAACTGTGTGATAGGAACAGTTCTGTTAATTCCCTCCACCAACTCTCGACAGTATCTGCTCCAGCATTAGACTGGGAGCTTTTATATCTTCTGTTGTTGTTGCTGTTGTTCTGACCTCGTTCTACTTCAGTTTATCCCCTGATTTCTGCATGCATTTTTCTGCCTTCAGTTTTTGCTTTTTCCTCCCCCCTTGCCATTTTTTCCCAGTTCTTTTGGGACCACTTTTACCCCAAACTTTTTCTGGAAGCCGATTTCCTCTCCTCCCCCCTTACTTTCAATGCACTTTCCATGCACTTGTTTTGTCACGTCCAGTTCCACCCACCTCTAACCTACTTTTCAATGATTGAACTGTCATCATTGTCAAACCACTCCCTCTCCTCCCCCTCCCCACCCTGAAGATGAGTGATTTTGTTTACTTTTTAAAATAAAAACAGCACTAAAAAGTATCAATATATTGATATATCATTGTAATGATAGGTTCATCAAGTTCTCTGAATTCACAGATCTCTTTTTTAAAAAGGTGAGTCTCTAGTCCCTCTCCTTGCGGAGATATGTCCTTTTCCTTATATCTCCACAAGGGAAGAAGATAGATACTTAAAAAAAGAAAGAATGGCTGCAGTCATACACACTAAATAATCCACTTTCAATGCACTTTCCATGCACTTTCCAACTGGATTTTGCCAGTTCACACAGTAAAAATCCAGTTTAAAAGTGGATTGAAAGTGGATTATTTAGTGTGTGTGAACGCAGCCAAAGAAAGAAAGCTGAGAATTCAGAGAACCTGCTGAAACTATCATTACAATGGTATACTGAGATATTGATATTTAGTACTGTTTTTAAATAAAATGCAGCCATGATATAGATGTATCAATGTAAGTATGTGCAAAAAATTAAAAGGGGAGGGTAATTTGACGGCACTGATGATGCCAGGACGACAGCACCCTCTCTTGAAAATCCTGATTATTTAAGGCACATGCGGGGGCAACTGATTATTTAAGGCACAACTGTGAAAATGCATAGGGAGAGCAAACATGTGGAAACACCATGCCCAAACCAATTCCAGTGCTTATGGATTGATTGCCAAAAAAATCAGGAGTAAGTCAAGCATGCAGAAAAGCCCTGGTACTTGGGTATGTATTTCCAGGGACAGCTGGCTCATTGCCCTGCCACCATTGCTAAATTGTGGCTGGTAAGCATTACCACAGGGTAGTGACCCTTTAATATAGAAATCGGGCATACAGTGAAAGAGCTGAAAATGACTTTGTTTAAACAGGTTTGCGGGCTGCCTTGGAGACTCTAAGAACAGAACCTGTTTTTCCCCTTAATAAACACAATTTTGTGTGGTGTCAAGAAATACCCTCCTCGCTAGAAGAGGGCAGACCATTTCTGGTTTCAAAATTTTTCTCTTTTTGCTGATACATCAAACATGTCTATTTATGATTTTTCAGTAGAGATGCATGAACACCTGCTAGTTTGGTTCATGTTTTCCTGATCTCCCAGCCAGGAAAGTGTGCTGCATTCTAGCCTTGAAGAAATACACCAAAATGAGGGGGGGGGGTTGATCATAAACCCAGATGATTCTCCTTCTCTTCTCCCCTACTGAAATTGGTACTTTGGGCTGCAGCTAAAGCTGTATAATTTCGGTGGAAGAACAAAAGCGTTGTTCATTTCCCTCCACCTGAATCTGGCAGCATGGGCTGTGGAAAATAGGAGTGATCTGCTTCCATCTTCTGCAGACCAAGGGACAGAAGCAGCAGGGACAGAAGCAATGCACTCCCACACCCAACTGAGAGTTTGGGCTGATAACAGGACCACGTATCCCTTCCCCCAAACTGACCTCTTGGGGTTGCAGGGGAATAGAAGGGATCTGTTTCTATTCTCCACAGCCCAGCCTCTCAGTTGGGGAGTGGGGGACAAATTTCTTCTCCATCCCCCAGCTGTCAGCTTGTGCCACAGAGAGCTGATGTAGATTGTGCCTGTTCTTCTGCGGCGCAAGCCGTCAGCCCATTTCCTCAGTTTCATATGAAGAGGAAAAAATGGTTTATTTCACCTACACCCCAAACTGACACACCACCTGCAACTTGGGCTGCAGAGAACAAGAGTGCTCTGCTCTTCTTCTCTGTAACCCATGTGGGGCAAGAGGGAAAAGAAGCCAATCGCTCCTGTTCTCCCCCGTTCCCCAAGCTTCCTCCTGTGCTTCAGCCTTGCTGGAATACACAAAGAAGTTTGGGTTGTGGAGTGGGGAACAGACACAGAAGCTCAGTTGATATCAGCTGGTAGTCAGCTTTTGACTTCCACCTCAGAGTTCGCATTAGGTCCTCAAGACGTTTGAGAGGCGGTTTCTGTTTGGCAGTTGTTTGAGTGGTTCATTGAGAACTGAACAGATTTGGTGTCTGGCTTAGCTGTGTTCAGGACAGCTGAACACAGTTTGTTCAACAGTCAAACAAACTCACCACAAAATACATAGTATCCCTATATATCAGACAATCCTTCAAAGATTTTTACCAAAGAACTATTCAAGATTGAGGCATATAATTTAGCACAACAAAAATGAAACTGCAAAAAAACTCTTCAAGCCCTAGCGCCCTTAGGGGGTGCAGAACAGATGTGTATGTGTGCGTTTCAATTCCTGCCATAGGCTCAGTACCAAAATCCACAGCCCATAATAAGGGCACATTGGTTGCTCTAATCAAACTCTAATTGCACAACAGCCGTAGAAAATCACAGTTACAGATTATTAACATGCAGCACATGCTCCCAAGTCACAAGACTTCATGAATGAGCCATTCATTACTGCAGCAAGGCAATATCAAGATCAGGAATGACACATGGAGACAACCAAGGTTTTCACCAAGGAACAGGACTGCATTGTCTTGACGATCCAAATATATTGACCTTTCTACATCCATATATCCAGTTTTTAGATTATGCCTCTAGGCTACTTCACACAGTGTGCAGATGTGTCAAGCATATATTTTTCTTATGAAAGGCATTAGCAAAAGCAATATGTGAAAGCTGCATCACTTTTACCTCACATGAAGCAGAAGCAAGACAGACAGGTGTGCCAGACTTCACAATCTGCAGGCCTTGCTTGTTTTCATTATGTTCAAACCAGCTTTGAGACATCGGAAGCTCACTGTTTAAAGCAGAACAAAATTCGAGTCCAGTAGCACCTTCAACACCAACAAAATTCTCCAGGGTATAAGCTTTCATGAGTCAAAGCTCATGAAGGCACTTAGTGCCTTTTAAGTTTGTCCACCAAGAGCAAAATTTCTAATTTCTTCTTCAACATGCCTAACCTTTTCATGTAGGTAGATACATAGGTGGAAGGTGCACCAGTTGCAGGGGCTTCATTTCCCTTTGGATCATCCCTCCATAATGGCCGCGTATAAGAACCACTTCGTACCAAGGTAACAGCAGATTCTCTGCAAAGGCATTGGGGGGGGGGATCTTTAATTCAACATATGTTTGCTGCATGCCAATAAACTGGAAATGTTTTAACTATTATTTTAAGCTGCCTTGAACTATGAGGAAAGGCAGGATATAAAAGTTTTAATAAATAAACCTTCAAAATACAGTTCAACACTTAGACAATTCACACTGTTTTTGTAGCCATATGCATGCAAAACACCCAAGATTAAGAACAATCTAACACTGGCAGTCACCATGCTATAATATTTAAAGCACTACAGCCTTCCCATGGTGCAGAATACACTCCTGTTAATCTCAGAACGATACGCAACAAATTACCATATTAATAATAAAAGTGGGTGGTTTGTACCTATCACAAAGGTAACAAAGCTGGACCACCCACAGGCAAGGTGTGATTTATTACATAACCAGAGGTCTCCCCAGGTATGCAGAAAACCCATGGGTCTGTAAATGAACCAGAAGGGAAGACCAGCCCCTCCCCCCAACCTTGTGAAATAAAAACTGAACATATTCCAGGAGGTATGGAATGTGGGGTGGAGGACAAACAAGAGAGCAAAATGGCCTGCTCAAACTCCTGAGAGCATACAGAATCCCGGAAGGTGAGATCCAGGCACAGGAGGTAATCTCTGTATTATCCCCTCCTCCCTCATGGTTTCTTACTACCCTGTAGCTTGTATCATCAGACTCAGGAATTGTGCTACCATTTTACGTGTTACCATTCAGATTATAATATGCCTAACTGCACGTAATACAAAAAAAGATTGAATGAATAGGCAGTCAAATCAAATGTGAAGAACAGATCTTTCTTTTTAATATTATATTTGTATTATGCGGGAGGAAGGGATTCCACCGAGATTATTTTGTGCAATAATGAACGAAGAATGAACACAAAAAGCACATTACATTAAAAGATGTCTGAAAACAAAAATTGGTTTATATAATGTTTAAAGTTCACTTGTAGTCATCTTCTTCTACCATACAAAACCTTTCATTACATTTATAATGAAACTAGGATATGCTAAGAGGCCTCCTCTATTATTTAATAATCTAAGTTGTACCCAGCTAAGTTGTACATACAGAAACAGGACAAAGAAGGTAGCTACATTTCACCCAATAAAACGTTTTGGAGGACAATGCAATAGGCTGTTTTAAAGGTAAAGGTTCCCTTGCTCGAAAGCCAGTCGACTCCGACTCTAGGGTTGCGGTGCTCATCTCCGTTTCAAAGCAGAAGAGCCAGCACTGTCCGAAGATGTTTCCGTGGTCATGTGGTCGGCATGACTAAACACCAAGGCGCACGGAACGCTGTTACCTTACCACCGAAGTGGTACCTATTTATCTACTTGCAATTTCTTGCTTTCGAACTGCTAGGTTGGCAGGAGCTGGAACTAGAGACAGGAGCCGTTTTGCGGCACCGGGTCTTAAACTGCTGAACTACTGACCTTCCACAGCCTGCAGTTCAGCATCTTAACCACTTGAGCCACCGCAGCTTTACTGCTTAATAATTTGTTACATCCTTAGTTAAACTTCTGCCATAAGTGCATTTTGAGGATGCACGATATTTAGCAAGTGCTTTTCTTTGTTCCGAACACCTGTAACTTAAACTGGTAAAGTGAAAATTAATGTATGTGTAGATACAGGGAGAGACTATTCCAAAAATTCAATTCATAGAAGTTCATTTCTGTAATTGCCAGGTCTTACCGGTTTTCTTTTTCTTCCATGTCACCTGTACTATTCAACCTTCGAGGGGCTACTGAAGCAAAATAAATTTTGTTGTCCTTGTCCTGCTGGAACAAAATAATTCCTTTAAGACAATGTATTTTAAATTAAAAAAAAAATCTAGTGGCCTCTGGCAGTTCCTGCTGGACCACTAAACACTTTCTTCCTCAAGAGCTCTCCCAAACTACTTCTGCTGGATTTCTTTTAGTTTCTCTCTACACCTGTCAGGGTTTGAAGCTGGTTTCAAATCCATGGATAACAGAAAGCCCTGGTTAACATTAATAAGGCTAAGGTCAGTGCCAATGTAACCCTTCACTACAGTGTGGCCAGCCTTAAGGGGTATAAAGCATAACTTTCAAACTCTGTCTCTAAACTTTCATTGCTGGACAGAAATAACCTATGGTTACAGACCAGAAGTATTACATCTACGATCTACACATGGAGATGAGAACCCCTGCCTTGGTGACTCAGAACAGTGAAGAAGCAAGCACGCATGATCAGCAGCAATATTTTTTCAGAACAGAAGAGTCTAAGTTAGGTTTGACTGTTCCATTTTAAAGGCTTGGCTTTCTTCTAACAGTCCCCACTTTCTGAAGGTGGTTATGCTTTTTCAAGCTTCTTTAGGCTGGCATTCTGGAGCAAAGGCTTGGATCCAACAGAGCCTTTTTCTGTATTTTAGGGGACATTTGAGTCTGCAACAGGAGGAAGCAGATGAGAGAAGTACAGTTTGGGGGCAGAAATCCTGCCTGTGGAAACACGCTGTTGGATCCAATCCCAAACTTACAAAACATTTAAACTGCTCAGCAGTTTCCAGACACAACTTCTTCATCTATGGTTATTTTTTCCTTTAAATTGTTTTAAAAAAATTCAAAACTCAAGACAGATCATACTCAAACAGATCATATTCAAACAATAAGGAAATAATAATTTTTAAAAACTAAATCTATAAAAGTTTCAACCAATATACAAATATATACAAAAAGAGTTCCTGTCTAAATAACCCCTAGTCTCTCCAATACAGTAAGTCAATTTTTTGCTATTCTCTCTCACAAGCAAAACCACTTAGTATAGTAGTTTGCCTGTTACCTACAAATGCCATGAATTGGAAGTATTTTTAATTCTAGAAGCAAGTAATTTAATTTTTAGTTCTAAGCAGAATTTCAAACAAAAAAAAGTTCTCAGTAAAATAAATCCATTTGTTGAATGCAATTACTCAAAGAAAAAGTTTGAAGAGCTTGGGAAAACACAACAGATTGTTTAATACAGTGCTGTCTGACATACAGCACTGTATCAGTATATATACACACACACATACACATACACACATACAATTATGTATCCTATTCCTGAGTATTAATTTGCACATATAATTATGCCATTACAAGGTATAAGTAGAATGTGTCTAAATAGTGCTTAAGTAAAAAACCTACACACTGCAGCCTAGTTAGGGCCTTTCCATATTTTTTTAAGCACACCACAAAACTGTATGGTTGTTACTCACTGTTACAAGGCATTCAAAACTCTTTCATGACAGTAATACTACAGTTTGAATCTCAGTCTCTCTGAATTTATATTCCCAGTATTGTGATGCTATATTACATATAACCCCCCCCCCTCCAATCTAGCATAAATATTATGGCCATGACAGTAGTGCAGAATGTGGATGCACTGGTGTCACAAGTCCTGACTGGATAGTGCCTGTAACATTGCTGGCAACACTATCATGAAATAAGAAGTACTTTCAAGGATTTTTCTTTTCTTTTAAAAAAGTGGCTTAAAGGCTGAGCATTTCCCCATCACACCAATGCAACAAGATGGTCAGAATTACACTTTTCTGTTTTGGAAAAAGAAATACAGGAAAATTCAATGCTTTGTTTCATGATACTCTTGCTTTTTCATGCTTCCTCTGTAATACTAAAGCACACATCCCCCTGTCCCCCCCCCTTTTAAATGGGATCACAGAAGCCTTTGCAGCAGAGTTACCATCCCACCCAAATACATAAGAGCAAATTACTGGAAGGTGCTAAATTCATGAAGGAAAGCCTCTGGGAGATGTGGCGGTGGAAAGTGCCCCCCTAAGTTTTCAATGCAAGAGATGAACAGACATGTTTCATCTTTTCCTGCCTCTACGTAGCAACCCTGATATTGCTTGGTGGTCTTCCATCCAAATACTGACCAGGGCCAACCCTGCTTGGCTTCCAAGATCTGATGCGAGATCAGGCTTGCCTCAGCTATCCAGGTGAGGGCCCAATATCAGTATCTGTCAGTAACGTGCCAAGAAAATTAATGTACTGCACGCCCACAATTGCCCAGTACAGTAAAACTTTTTGTGCATTCCATCAGAAAATAATGAACATTTCACCTCGCCTTACTAAATGTGAAAGAGCCGATCCTGTTTAACTTCCAAGATCTCAAACAACAAAACTGGGGCCAAAATCAGTCCAATAATACACTCTTAAACATTAAATATGTATGCTAATACAATCACTTTTATACTTGATAATAGTATCTAAGTATACAAATTATTAACAAGGTATACAACCTAACCATACAATATCCTAATGTTATACAATACTAATATACTAACATACAGTAATATCACAGAATACCGATTGTAGCTAACAGCCAGGGGTCGTTTCGTAGAAAAAGAGCTAGGGGAACTCATTAGCATAACTCATTGGCATATGCCACACCCCCTGACATCACCGGAAGTGTGTCATAAGGCCACACCCCCTGACATCACCGGAAGTGTGTCATAAGGCCACACACCCCGCCCCCAACGGTCCCGGCCGCCGCTGGCGGCCTTGAAGCGTCACTGCCGAGCCCCATGAGGGGCCCGGCGGTGGACCTGCAAGGCCGGCGGGAGTGCAAGGAAGCCCCGCGAACCCCCATACCTCACCTGGGGAAACTGCGATCCCCCACGTTCCCCCCCGAAATGACCTCTGCTAACAGCCAAAAAGTACTAGTAGACTTTCAACATGTGCTGTTAACAGGCAAGGAATGTAAAGACTTTTCTTCTCAAGACCTTATCAGCTTCGAAGCTTAGTCTGTCAAAGACAGGTCCCGTATGAGAAATCTTCTAAGGAAATAAGGGCTAGTCCCTATATTAAATGTAGCAACTCTTGAGAAGAAAAGTCTTTAGGAACTAGGAAGTAACATTACACCAGAAGGAAAACTCTTATACAATATAAGCTAACTTGCTTCTGAGGAAGTTAAGAGACGAAACCAAGCACAAGCCGGCTGCTTTTTCAAGCTTTACATTCCTTGCCTGTTAACAGCACATGTTGAAAGTCTACTAGTACTTTTTGGCTGTTAGCTACAATCGGTATTCTGTGATATTACTGTATGTTAGTATATTAGTATTGTATAACATTAGGATATTGTATGGTTAGGTTGTATACCTTGTTAATAATTTGTATACTTAGATACTATTATCAAGTATAAAAGTGATTGTATTAGCATACATATTTAATGTTTAAGAGTGTATTATTGGACTGATTTTGGCCCCAGTTTTGTTGTTTTTGGTATCTTGATACTGGGAAGATTGTTATTTGGGTTTGGTAACTTACAAGATCTGACAGGATTGGGCTAGCCTGGGCATCCAGGTCAGGATAATAGATCTACTAGCCACAGAAGCTGAACAGAGTCTCCATTGTCAGAGCTCATCCTGCTGTTTAAGGAACCAGGAATGACCTTCATGCCATGTTTGTGGGCTTCCCAGAAGCATCTTGCAGGCCACTGCTATAAACAGGTCTAGATGAACTTTTTACCTGACTGAGAACAATTCTCATGTTTTCCGTTGATGACAGAATACAGGACTCTGTCATAGCCTCTGGGCTATATGACTTTAACACTATGGGAAAAGTCCACTTAGAATATCCTGAAATAGCCAGTACTGCCCAAGATCACTAGTAACATGTTTCAAAGAATGGAAAACCGTATTACTCTGCACCTTTTCTTTATTGTCTAATAATGCAGAAATCCGAGGGGTTGAAGAAGAGCGATAGATAGAGCCTCCCTTATCTTTCAGTGTATCACGAGGAGCAGTGCCTTCACTGAGTGTGTTCTGACTGCTAGTTTTCCGCAGACTTAGCCTCCAGGAAGAGGGAGATTCATTCTTTTGTTCTTCAGATTTGTTGAGCAAAGCAGTAGTAAGCTGTAAAAGAGAAAAAGGGTGACGAGAAAGACAGTCAAAAGTATATCAAGATGACTAACCTCCCAAACAATTTCACTGCACCAAGATTAACTTGTAAATATAATAACAAGGAGTGGGCTCCAATTTAACCTGGCCATTTCCACCTATGTCCTCTTTCCTGCTACAATCCCCTCCTTCCACCATGTTATCCCTTGGGGTGCCCTATCTCCCAGGAGCAGAATTTCATGGAGATCAGTGGGTTGCAGTGGGACTGGACTCCAAAGTTCCATTCTGCTGACAGAAAATTGAATCTGAATCCAACCAAGGTCATGCATAAAACTTACAAGCTAACAGCAGTACTGAGACATAAATACAAGCTATCAGTTTTACTAATTTAAGTATCAAGAGCGCCAAGCCTATACATCATAATGTGGAAAACATATCCTTCTACTTATTCTATATTCCACAAAAAGCATCTTTGTACACATAACTTTCAAATGATTAATTCATTTATAAAAAGCACAAACTTCATGCAAATCTGGCATAGTTTAGATAAATTCAATCTAATTTGTTTCAGTGTTAAAAAACCCAAACCCTCAATTATAAAATATTTTTTTTAAATGCCAAAACGTATTTACTTACTGACTTCATCTATAGCTCCCCTTTCTCCCCATATAAAGAAATGCTATAAACACCATAACACATTCCAGCCACCAACTCAGATGGGATCTGCTTGGAATTAAAAGATATGTATCCCAGTCTAACAAATGCTTGCTTGATACGAACCTATTTAATGCAATGGTGCCCAAGCTTGGATCTGAGGACACATGATACAGCAACCTTGTTGAAGCTAAGCAGGACAGGTTAGGGTTAGTACCCAGATGGGTCTGATTGTGAATCCAACATCTGCCATTTGTTTCATTGCGGAAACATGATAAAACCATCATCATTTGTAGCAAAAGGCAACCTTAGAGTCAACTTGTGCTGCAGTTCAGGAATACAATCCTAAGCAGAGCTAATCGATGGATTTAGAAGGCTGCAACTCTGCTTAGGTTTCCACTGTAAATCAATTTCCACTTACTTTTCTGACAGGAGCCATAGTGAAAGTGTTATGCTCAGGTGGTGGTACTTGTTCTGTGATGAGCATTTGGGGGTTATGACTGGAGTGGTTAGCAAGAGACTCTTCCTTTCTCTCTAAAAAGATAGAAAATAGCATGGGCATAGCAGCTGTAAATACTTTACCAACACAGTTCTAAACTTACCAGGACATGTGCTCCTGATATTCAGAGCACAGGCGCTCTGATCTTTTGACATTAAAGTTATGTTGCTCAAAGCAAGGAAGAATGAAGTAACGTGGGTTGGATCCTACAAGCCATGAATGGAAGATAACTGTAGACCACTTCTCTACTTTTTTCTCCAGCAGCTTCCTGTGATCCAACAAAAGCTGATGCTAGGGGTGAGGAGAGCTTCAAGACAAAATGGTGTAGAACACAGGGGGCTGCAGTAATGAGTTCTTCTTCCACCAGCAGGGTTCCATGATATTTTACCCATGAGGATTCCCACTATTGCCAGCCTCAGTTATTCTGAAAAGAGTAGCAGGTAGAAAACATCTATTTTTGTGATCATAAGGCCTTATATGCCTTGTCACTTTTCCAGAGCTTGAACAAAGAAGTAATTTTGTTTAGTCACATTATAAATTTGTATCTACTGGCTATCAATATATTTCCAGAGTGTACTTCTGCAACCCCGTGATAGTTACTGGGTTCATTCATTCCAGAAGCATGAATAATTAACTTAATGTTAAGCATGTCTAGTGCAAAACTCTATTTAGGGAATTTTTCCCAAACAAAAAGGTAAATAAAGAGAAGATCATTCTTTTTGCTTATCTGTGAATTCATACTGATGGGCTTTGGACCTGCACAGAGTTTCAACAAAGAAATATCTAGAGCTAGCTTTTAGGCACAAATGTCCTCTCCCCTTCCTAGGACAGCTTAGATTGTGTGCATGCCTAAGGGGGAGTAGTTTCAGCTTCCAAAATTAAGGGTATGCTGCAGAAAGTTAAAGGTACTTGGGAAGGTAGATGGGTTGTATGAGTGCACAGATGGTCAAAGAACAGTTGCAGGTATGCAATTTGTTCTTACTTCTTTAGAGTCTCTGTGCAGCACACTTATGGTCACAGGCTAGCAAGATGAAGATGGATACATGTATATCTCGGACAAGAGTGTCAAGCACCATCCTACCAAAGAACATGTCTGCTCTTGCTCTGACATGAATGGTTTAAGGAGAAGATTAGACCCAGGTGGCCACTCTGCAGAGTTCAGAATGTGGAATCCCTTTGCTAAAGGCAGATGATACGGTAACAGATCTGGTGGAAAGAACTCTGAGTGTCATAGGAAGACGAGTGTGGCTCTGATCATAGCAGACCTCAATAATATCTGTGACCCAGCAGCCAAACCTCTGTGAAAATGCTGTCTTTTCTTTGGACTTGAGTAGCAGAAGAGCATGCCAAGGACTTTCCTAAAGGAAGCGCTTCTGTCTAGGTAGAAAAACAGTACTGTCTGAGCATCGAAAGACTGCAGGGCCCTCTCAGTTTCTGAGGCTGGAATCAGAAAGCAGGTAGGGAGGACCAGAATTTGGTTGAGGTAAAACCCAGAAACTGCTTTGGGGGAAATGGCAATATGTGGGGGTACTACTATATTCTTCTTGTGTACCCAGAGGTAAGCAGGGCCTGAGCACAGAGTTCACTTGCCCTTCTTGCCAAGCAGACTGACACCAGTAAGTACACCTTGCAGGTAAGGAGCAAGAAATAACATGTGGCTAATGAATCAAATGACTTGCCCAGTTGCAGACAACCACACAGGTGTTGGTGGTGTAATGGAGGGTGGAGGTCCAGTAAGAACTGCTTACCAATGGCTGGGTGAAGACTGAGCAAATCTGAATGACAGGCCACGTAGCAGAGATGACCACTGGATAGACTTTAAGAGATGTGAGATAACCCTAGATGTAGATGGAGCAGGTACATGTGGGTGGCTCCCACTCCTGTGCTAATGCAAAGATGGTAGAGCCCTTCCACTCATAGGGTCTTCTGGGCAATGATATCAGTTTACTGGGAAAATATAAATTGGCCCTGCTCGATCCCCCCAGCCACCTGTGGCGGATGCCATAGGACAGACTTTACCAAACAGATACTAACGGGACAGCCTGTCTGAGGGAAGGTAGGCTCTGCCAGTGATAGAGTCCAGGGTTGCCCCCATAAACTGAATAGTCCTTACTAGGGGGCTAGAATAACTGCAGTTATTTGCACACTGTGGAAGAGGGAGAGACAAGATAGTGCTGTGAGCAGTCAGACTGCATACGGCAAAATGGCTGCCCTTGATGTCAAAGGAGTATTGCTACCACTGCCAAGAGTTCCTGAACACCCTTAAAGTGGTGAAGGGGACAAAGGGCAGCATCTTTTACTGGAAGTGGGCATCTCTGATAGCAAAACAGAGGAAACAGCAACATTCAGATGGATGGATATGTCAACATATGCATCCTTGAAGTGAACATAATTGAACCAAGCTCCTAGCATAGAAGGGGAAGGATGGGAGGCCAAAGGCACAAATGGCTAAGGTCCTAGGAGACATATTGATATGCCTCTGCCGAGGGTGCTGGAAATACACAGTGTGATGACCACAAATAAACATGTGGTTGGGATATCTGGAGAGATGCCTGTGGAAAGTCCTCCAGTTGTTCCTCTGAAAACAAGCCAACCAGTTAGATAACTACATAGGGAGCTCTATGAACTGACAGGGTTTCTGAGACAATGATGATATTCTGAAGGATTTTCAGTATCAGTTATGGCTCCACTATCTGTAGAAGACAGGCTAGGATTGTGAGGCAGAAAACCATGAAGGAATGTGCACCACAGGGTCACAAGGAGACTGATTTTCCATTAGCTGTGGTTGGTGACTCTGCTTTTGCTCCCTGTTTTGTTCATCAGATTGGCTTAGAACCAATGGGCCAGGCATTTCTTTTTGGTGGCTTGGTTTCATGACTCATCCCCGCCTGGTTATGAACACAGTCCAAGTTGCATCTCTGAGAGAAGAGGATGTTCACACCTAAAAAGACTGCTCTAGAAGGTTCTGAACTGAAGCTCTGTGTAAAGCTCAGTGTGATGTACAGAGGTCATGAAAAAGTAAACCTTATTTTCAATTTAAAAGTTTTGTTTTGTGTTACTATTGAATTCCAAACTAAACCAGAATTTGGTGGCAGGGGTTCAGCCCCTTTAAATCCAGAATGGATCCAAAGATGTGTCCAAAAGCAATCTGAATCAGGTCCTGATGTGTAATGATGACATCAAGGTTAATGACAGTGCCTTGGACCATCCTGGGGTTTTCATGATAGGAATCAGGCCTTCCCCAGCTCCCTGAATTACCTGAAATACTTACTGGTGTTGACAAGACAATCTTACTGTATTCACTGTAATGAGTAAGGAGTTCTGCTTCAGAGAGTGTTATCAATAGCATAAAGCACCGCTCTGCTTCTGTACTTCAGCAATACATTGCCAAGAAATAGTAAGTTTTGAAACAGTAACATTTTGGAAGTAACTACCACAGAGCTCTTTGGGGTTTTTTTCCTGTGGTGGAGGGATTAAAAAGATACAACTTCACAGAGCCTTGTTACTGGACCAAAGCTCTTGAGGATAGCCAAAAGCTTCTTAGTCTTTGCACTTAATGCATTTGGAGCTAGCCAGCTATGCAAAAGTTACTTGTACCCATTTCACAGTGTTAAAGAAACAGCTAATTGACAAGAAAGTGAGGCAACTAGTAAATTCTACATTTTTTGCAGTTGTACCGGGCACTTATGTTCCCGTAGGTCTATAATGCAAAAGAGCATTATGTTGTCAGATATTAAAAGCAAGATCTTTAAGCTATAATTGTAAGCTATCCTGAAAGCAGAAGGGAGTAAGATATAACTTCTAAATAAATATAAACATAAAATTTAGTGTAAAAGTAATGTTCTACATGAAAGGTTACTAGAGTCTGCAGCAGAAAAGGTCAAAAACTTGAGATTCTCCAAGGAATTAAATACCAACATAATATTATCAAATCATTATTTCACTGCTTCTCCATACTTTGCCTAGAGATTTGTCATTTTCAGCTCCTGTAACAACTCCCCTTCTTTGTAAGCCAAGTGCATTGGTGTTAGAAGAAAAAGAAACATTGCATTGGGAAGGGAGAACTGTGTTACTTGTCAGCCACCCAAGAGTGTCACTTTTATGTCACTTTTACAACCACATTCCTGGCAACATTTTCAAATTCCAGTAATCCTGCTACAAGACATTGCTGTCCAAGTGCAGGACAATGTACAATCGCCAAAACGTTCTGGAGCTCTGGTAAATAAAGAACAGCTGCATATCTGTTACAGTATAAATCGAATGGGGACTTATAGAGACCCCAAAATAAATGGCAAACAGCTCCCGAGTAGAACACACAAAAGTAGCAGAAGTCTTTTATAAAATAAATATTCATATTTCAAAAATATAGAGAACACAGTAATCCTAAATATATACTATTGATATATTATTTCCTGTCATCTAAGACTGATTTTTATCTTCGTGGATCTTATCTCAGAGTGCAAAGAAGCTTTTCAAGATGTCTTTGTGAACGCAGGGGAAGTTGTGAATTCACTAATTCTACAGGCAATCCCTATTTTTAACAATTCTGTAAAGCATATTACCTGCCTTTTTTTCAGTATCTGATTCTGAAACATCATCTTCCTCCGCTTCTTCCTCAGAACTGGAGCTACTGGACTCTTTATTCTCTTCTTCATGGTCTAGGGATTTCAGAGTGTCTGGCTCATAAAGAATCTTCTCTTTGCTGAGACACAAATGTTTAAAAATGTATTCACCACAATGAAGCAGTAAACTAACTAAACAATGTGCCGTAGGAACTGACAATATAAGAATACTTCAGATCACTGTACAGGCTGTGTACAGAATCTTACTGCTGATCAGTGTGAGCAACTAATCTCTTAGCATTGCAATGGAACTAATGCTAATGCAATATTATAAACAAACTGAGATGGGAAGGAGAGGCCAAGTGGCAGGGGAAATGCTAGTTCCTTCTATGTCCCTGTTTCCTAATTCCTGACATTTCCCCCCAAAATCACATCATGGGACTGGTAAAACAGACCACACAAGATGCCCAACAATGTCTACTTTAGAAACAGCATATGCACTATTTGAAGAAAAACATGTATTTTTAAAAGGTATAGATATAGCAGGGCTTGGAAAAAATCGCAAAGCAAAATTTCAGAGACTTGGAAAGGTGTGGGAGGAGATGGACAATACGTAACACTGATCTATACAACACAGCAAAATGCTGGCCCAGTAATTCCTATCTATGACAAGTTCATGGCTACTCTTTCAGCTACAAAACAAACAGGTTCTGAACTCGCTATACTCTGAGTCCTACCATGTTCCATGCCCTGTTAAGTTCTGACTTTTCAAGGTGGTTCACATTTCCATTTTTACTTCTGTTCTCCTACCAACCCCACAAGACGTCATGCCCATAAGACACCCATGCCATTTACTTTTAGATAGAAAATCTTACTTTCTGAAGAGTCCGCTTTGAAGTTTGCCATTTATATCAGCTTCAATTAGCTTGTTTCTTGTCTCTTCACTACGCAGCTGCCAAACATATAATTGAAAAGCCATTTTAAAGAAGAGATAATGCCTGGTAGATCATTTTAATTGTTTAGATCTTACATAGAGCTACAAGGATTTATCACCAGGAAGCCATAATATTGTGGTCACATTCCAGACCATTTCTTCCAGGGGATATCTACCTGGGCATCCTCTTTGACTTTCTTTTAAACTCTAGCTTCTTCTTTCCCAAATACCTCACAGCAGGTTCCTTTTGAAACAGGCTCATCAACTCCATTGGCTGCTTCTGGCTTCCAGTATTATAGGACAGGGAGAAAAAAATTCTCTCTGTCTACTTTTTCCACCCCATAATGTAAATCACCACAGCTAGAAAAGAAATCACTCTGTTCTGAGCTGGGCTTAGATTTCTTCAAAGTCAGATCAGCCCTCAGACCTTCCTGCCCATTACATCTGCATCCCAAGCAGGTGACCATCAGTAGTACTTTTTTGAAAGGTGCAGCAGGAAGACACATATGGGTAACAACTACCACTACAAGCTTGCTTCGTTCATGTTCATCATGAATCCAACTCATTCTTTTTTTATGTTGGCAGGGAACAAAACCACCTACATCCCTGACAGATTGCTGTTCAGTTAATATTAAACATATGTTGTAAGGGGTGCAGTAAAGAGTATAACTGTAGCAAAAATAATCTCTTAAAAGTCATCAAGGAGATAAGCTAGGAGAAATCTCCTGGCAAAAGAAAATCAGGCACAGTCTAGCAACTGGACAAATATTTAGCTTACAGCCAAACCTCTTTTCCCGAACAGCCTCATGTTAGCAAATTCTACCTCAAACGTGCCATTTCACTCACTGCAGAGAACTCTAGACTATGCTGCAAATTCTACTATACAGCTCAGCTTCACAACTTCTCCTGTTGGAAATGTCATTTTGGCAACACCATGTAACCATAAGTATGCATGAGTCTGACCAATTCTGACAAACTAATTCAGGGTCAAACTGCAAGTTAATGGGAGATCCATGATCTGATTTGGCATCTGGATCAAGGCTGATGGGTGGTGCTGTTGTTGTTAGACCTGTCAGCAGCGTTTGACATGGTTGACCATCAGCTACTGATCCACTGCCTCAACGATACCAGAGTTCAGGGGCTTGCCTTACAATGGCTCGCATCCTTTCTTCAGGGTCGGGGACAAAGGGTGGCACTAGGGGAACAACTGTCCTGAAGGCATCCACTGATTTGTGGAGTGCCCCAAGGGGCAGTGCTTTCCCCAATGTTATTCAACATCTATATGCACCCCCTTGCCCAGATTACCTGGAGGCATGCGCTTGGGTGTCACCAGTACGCAGATGACACCCAGCTCCATCTGTTGGTGGGCAGTCAGTCTGACTCTACACCAGAAGATCTGGACTGGGCGTTGCAAGCCATGGCTGATTGGCTTAGACTGAGACAACTTAAATCGAATCCGACGAAGACAGAGGTTCTGTGCCTGAGTCCAGGCAGTCTGGGGGTAGGGATCCCACTCCCGACCTTCAGTGGGGCACAGTTGGCACCAGCGCCAGAGGTTAGGAGTTTGGGAGTGCTCTTGGGTGCTCCCTTAACCATAGAGGCCCAAGTAGCAGCCACTGCCAGGTCAGCCTTTTATCGTCTTTGGCTGATCAGGCAGTTGGTTCCCTTCCTCGAACGCAATGACTTGGCAACAGTGATCCATGCAATGGTCACCTCGAGACTGGACTACTGTAACGCTCTCTACATGGGGCTGCCCTTGTCCCAAATCTGGAAGCTGCAACTAGTGCAGAATGCGGCAGCCAGGCTTTTGATGGTTATCCCTATGTGGGAGCACATCCAGCCTGTACTGAAGGCACTGCACTGGCTGCCAATAGAATACTGGATTTGCTTCAAGGTGCTGGTGAAATAAGCTCCTGGAAGAGATCAGGGCCCTGCAGGACCTCTTACAGTTCCGCAGGGCCTGCAAAATGGAGCTCTTCTACCAGGTGTTCGACTAGGGAGCCCTGGCTTTACCATCTTTACCATCTTTCACCTCCAGCCTGTGCCCTGGCCAACCATCAATGTCTCTAGCCTGTGCCCACCGCATAATAAATGAGCAAACTGAGCTGGTATGAAAGTTATGAGAATCATACGGTCACCTAAGCTATATTAGAAATAATTTTTGCTCTTTTTTATTTGATAATGTTCCAGCTTTTAACTGTGTTTTAATTGATTGGTATTTATGTTATATGTTTATATAGGTTTTAATTGTATTTATGAAATGTTGTGTAAGCCGCCCTGAGCTTGCCTTTGCAGGGAGGGTGGGAAATAAAATGAATGAATGAATAAATAAATGTTTTTAACTGTAAAATGCGGTCATACTTTCCCAGTTTGAATTTGACCCAGTGTACTGGAGCAGAAGTAGTTACTATTTTCTCTCAGAACTATTTTCCCATCAGAAATACCCAACTGCCATCACCTGAGTGCAGTGGCAGTCCCAATCCAAATCCTAAAAAAAGGTAAAAAATATATTCACAGATTTTTCTACATTATATGTAGTTTGACCACCAGTATTTGCCTCCACAACTAGACTGGCTGGTTATCTTCCTAGAATTATAGAATCATAGAGTTGGAAGGGACCTCCAGGGTCATCTAGCCGAACCCCCTGCACAATGCAGGAAATTCACAAATACCTCCCCCCACCCCTATCCCCAGTGACTGCTGTTCCATACCCAGAAGATGACAAAAAACCTCCAGGATCTCCAGCCAAACTGGCCTGGAGAAAAATTGCTTCCTGACTCCGAAGTGCCGGAAACAATTTTCTTTAAAACAGACAGGAGATGGAACCAGAGATATTGGCTAGAATGAGGCTAGGAAGGGACTCACCATATTCTGCTTCTTCTGCAGCATCTCCAAGTGCTCAACCAGTCCCTCATCAGCCACATCAAATGGTGTTTGACCCTGATAACATGTGCAAGTAGAAAACAAAGGCATCATACAGGATGGTGTTTCATTAGTATGAAAGGAAAATTTCTTTACCAGTAGAAAACAACATTTAAAAACAAGCTTATAGCATTTCATATCCTAGAAGCTGGTAAAACCTCAGGGTTTGACAACAGAATTTTCCACACCCTTTTAATTTATACTGGATGCCAAGTAAAGTTGGTATGTGTTTAGTTATCCTACAGTTATATTAGTTTGAATAATCAGATAAAGACATGGGGCAACAGCTATGATGGAATTTATGATGCACATAGTGAAGTATTAATTCTTGGTAAAGTTGTAAAGTTCCCAACTGCTTAGTTCAAAGACAGAGATGGTCTGCAGCATTGGATACACTCTCTACCATAGCCCCCTCCTTTCCCCAGTTCAAAATCCCCTGCCCATGACACAATAAGCTTCTCTGGCTGAAATTAGTACATACATCACTATTAACTATGGTTCACATGTTGCTAAGCAGGGTTGTCCTGAATAAGGGTTTTCAAACCTAATTTGAATCTTGCTTAACATGAAGTTGGGTAGCTAAAGCTGGTGTAGATGAAAACATTGCTCCATGACTAAGAACAGGGGAAATCTGCATTATAGAAGAAAAGGGATAGGAGAAAGGAATGTATGATCTCACCTGCTTATTCCCAATCTTTTAACTATGCCTTAAAGTTTTCCAGACTGCTGTGTCACTAGCACCACTATCGATTTAACCAAAGATTCTAGTAAATGTAACAGGATTAATGAAGTATAATTAACTCTGTGTGAAGATTATCAGCCAAAGGTACAAGAGCCACACTCAAGTTGAAAGCGAGTATCGCAGACATCTAAAAAATTAAATCATTCATGCACATCTCATTCCGCAGGAAGACTACCCCAAAATGGAAAGTTAGAAACAGGAGGGTGAAATGCTGTCTGACATACTGTCCTCCTGGAAGGAGGCATTAATAAGCCAGTCAAGATCCAGCCAATAAGAGATCTGATTTCTCCCAGGAGGCTTTGACCAGCCAAAAACAAGCAGAGATGTAATTATAGCTGGTGACTCTCCCAAGTTTTTGTAGGAGTCGGAAATACTGAGTTGGATTTAGCAATCTATCAGTGGAAGGAGCTGACAGCAGCGGATCTTCCCTGTTTCCCCCTCCCCCCACCCCCACCCAGAGATCTGATTACCAGGACCACAGGACCTGTGCACAGTAACAGTAATAGACTTTGGTGGTCTGTAGTGAGGAATGTGGAAAAATCCCTCCTTCCTACCCTTCTATCACTCATGCTCCACTAATGGATGAAGCAGGAGGGAGTGATTTAACCCCTTTTGCTGACTCACTGCAGTTCACCAACCTGTATGGCTATTGTTCCACCTGGGACCAGTGACTCAAGAATAAGCCTACCCAAATTTGGGATTTCTAGTGGGAAGGGAAAGCACAGATGACCCACATCCTAGGGTGAGCAGATTGTTGGATCCAATGCATTGACTGACACTGAAGAATAAGACTGAAAACTCTGGTATCACATCTGTATTTGAAGTAGTACTCCTGACTAGGGATGGGCACGAACCTCATCACAAACCTAAATTTGTCACGAAAATTGCCTGGTTCATGAGCTGAGGTTCATGTGGTCTTGCCTGCCACGAACCTCCACGTTTCCCGGAGATTTGCGGGAGGTTCATGTTGGCAGACATGTTGGTGCCAATCAACTGATCGTCAAAGCAACAGGGGATGGACTTCTGCAGCACTGGAAACACCAATAATGGCCCTCCAAAGCTCGATGGGCAGTGCTGGCCGCCAATAAGAGAGCTGCCATTCTGCTCTATGGGAGCAGCTCACATGCCACTGTTTTTACTCAGCAGCAGGCAGTTAGAGGCAGAGAGGAAAGGGAACTGGAAGTCATTCCTCAGTGTGAGCAGTGGGGTTGGGGGTGTTTGGTGCTTACTCAGGACTCTGAGGCACCTGTCCTTCTGCTCATGCTGAGCAGAGGGGCTTAGCTTCACTGTTTCCTCAGCTGAGCCCCCCCTCATTGGGCGTTGTGTGAATGCTAGCTCTGGCTGGCTGGGATTGTGTGAGGTAAAGTGGACGCAGGGCTCTGAGCCACCTGTCTCCTTGCTCAGCTCCCCTCGCCGCCCTGGAATTCATTTCTGAAGGGATTGGGTAAAAGTCGGATCCAGATTATTTTAAATGGATCCTCATGAATTCATGTGATTTATACTGAAATGAAATAAAACCACCATCACACTGTAGACCATGTTTTAGTCTATAGGCAGCACCACAAAAATCACCCAACCACTGCTTCATGCGGCCATATGGGCACAAAAAAAAAGTTACTTGCTCCCTCTAAGCTGTGGTGTCTTGTGAGCAAAAATTCTACTCTGTGAGCGACTGGCATGAAAGTTGTGAGCGAGCGATTTGGCTATTGCATAAATTAGCTTGCTCTGGAGCCCTCCTTCCTGAGCTGAGACAAAAATGTGTGAGCCAGAGGCTAAAAAACTGTGAGCTAGCTCACACTAACTCAGCTTAGAGGGAACAGTGGTTACTATCCATGGATCCTCATTATTTTTGCACTACGTCATCCTCTCCTTAAAAAAGAAATATCTCTGGATCCAGCCAAATTGGCAAACTATTGGCCGGTTTCCAATTTGCCCTACCTGGGCAAAATAATAGAGAGGGCAGTGGCGATACAGCTACAGGGCTTTATGGTTGACACTTCCATGTTAGATCCCTTCCAGTCCGGTTTTGCCCAGGCCATGGGACAGAGATGGCATTGGTCACCCTCACAGACAACCTCTAGAGACATCTGGATCAAGGAGGATCAGCGGTGCTGTTGCTGTTGGACCTGTCAGTGGCATTCGATGCAGTCGACCATCAGCTAGTGATCCACTGCCTCGCCAATGCTGGGGTCCAAGGGTTGGCCTTGCAGTGGTTTACCTCCTTTCTCCAGGGTCAGGGACAAAGGGTGGCACTAGGGAAACAGCTGTCCCAAAGGCACCCGCTGGTTTGCGGAGTGCCCCAAGGGGCGGTACTTTCCCCGGTGCTATTTAACATCTACATGCACCCCCTTGCCCAGATTGCCTGTAAGCATGGGCTGGGTTGTCACCAATATGCAGATGACACCCAGCTCTATCTGATGTTGGGTGGCCAGTCTGACTCTACACTGGAAGATCTAGACCTGGCGTTATAAGCTGTGGCTGCATGGCTTAGACTGAGCCGATTGAAATTGAATCCAACAAAGAAGGAGGTCCTGTGCTTGAGTCGGAGCATCCTGGGGTTAGGGATCCCACTCCCGACCTTTGATGGGGCTCCGTTGGTGCCAATGTCGGAGGTTAGGAGCTTGGGAGTACTCCTAGATGCCCCCATAACAATGATGGCCCAGGTAGCAGCCACTGCCAAGTCGTACTTTTACCATCTTTGGCTGATTAGGCAGCTGGTTCCTTTCCTTGAACACAATGACCTAGCAACAGTGATCCATGCAAGGGTCACCTCGAGACTGGACTACTGTAATGCTCTCTACATGGGGCTGCCCTTGGTGCAAATCTGGAAGCTACCACTAGTGCAAAATACTGCAGGCAGGCTTTTGATGGGCCTCCCTATGCAGGAGCACCTCCAACCTGTGCTAAAAGCATTGCTCTGGCTGCCGATAGCATATCAAATTTGTTTCAAGGTGCTGGTTCTTACCTTTAAAGCCCTATATGGTCAGGGACCTGCATATCTTTCCCCACATGTTCCCCAGAGAGCACTGTGTTCAGGGCTCCAAAATCGCCTGGCCCTCCCTGGTCCAAAAGAGGCCAGGCTTCTCAGTAGCAGCTCCATACTAGTGGAATGAGCTCCCAGATGACATCAGGGCCCTGCGGGACCTCTTACAGTTCCACAGGGCCTGCACGACGGAGATCTTCCACCAGGCTTTTAATTAGAAGCCGCACATAACAACTATACTGTGTTAGGCCTTCCCCCTGGATGTTCCATCAGCAGCCTGTGCCCACCAGCAAAACCAGAAAAGATACGCTGAATTCCAACTCTGACCATTCCCTTTTGTTTAACCAACATGTCCTGCTGTGACAATTTTATAATGTTATTATTACCATCTATTCTAGCTCTAGCACCTTGCACTTTATGTTCTGTTATAACTGTATGATAAATTAAGATGTTTTGTGTGTTGCTCTATGTATTTTATACTTTTATGTATTTTATGTAAGGCGCCCTGAGCCTGCCTCAGCAGAGAGGGCGGGATATAAGTCGAATAAACAAATAAACTAACTAACTAACTCACCATCAGATCAACTATAATATCGATAAACATAGATTGCATAGCAAAAATCATGGATCCGCTTCTTCAGGGTGCCAAAACAGTGCAAAAACATGGTTCCAAATCATGGATCCTCAAGGTTTTTGCATTGGGTCACCTCAACATCACTATCAAATCACACATCATGTCCATGGGCACAGCTTGTACCACAAAAAAATCAGGGATCCACAGCTTTGTGGCAACACCATGGTACAAAAACATGGTTCCAAAGCACAGATTCTCATAGATCCTCAGGGTTTTGCATTGGGTCATCATGACATCACCATCAAATTACATATCATGTCCATGAGCAAAGCTTGCACCACAAAAATCATGGATCCATGGCTTCATGGTGACACCATGGCACAAAAACATGATTCCAAAGCACAGATACTGATGGATCCTCAGGATTTTTGCATTGGGTCACCCCAAACTCACCATCAAATCACATATCAAGTCAAACTGAGCAGGGGGGCTTAGCTGCTGGGTTCCTCAGCTTGGGGGGAGGTGTAAATTAAGTGCAACAAAGAAAGTGGGGGGTCATTGTGAGGCACCCCCATATAACTGCACCAAGCATCCATTGTGAAGAAATCCATCTTTTCAGCTAGCAGGGCTCGGTTGACAACCTGTCAAATGTTATCAAAACTCTGTTTAATAATGACTGGCTTTGTGGGAAGGGGAGGTCAGTGCAAACTGCATTTGGAAAGACTAGGAGAGATTTTCCTTCTCTAACATGATTGTCCTGCACCCAAGGTCCTTTTGCAAGGAATACAGCAGCAGCAGGGAAGAGCGATTACCCTGGAAGAAACCACATCATAATTGGGGAGGCGGTCCTCAGCAAACTTGGAGGGCAGGTAGAGGGGCATCTCAGGGAGGCCCTCTGTGAGTTTGATGCCTCTAGCTTGCAGGGGGTCCATTCAACACACTCCTGAATCTGCAGCTGCAATTTCCACAGAGAGCACTTTCCTGGGGGCACCTGCTTTGGGGGACTGTAACTTGGCCCCTGAAATCCAATCCTCACCGAACATGGAGAGCAGGTAGAGGAGAGTCAGCTGGAGACTCACTGCAAATTTGGCATCTCTAGCTCACAGGGGGGGCATTCTACCACATCACGTACCTCACAAAACAAACCAGTTTGGCAAATGGGAAGGTTCATGAAGGTTCATGATTCATGGCCATCTGGCCCCACGAACCATGAACTGAAACAAACCTCAATTTTCCCAGTTCATGCCCATCCCTACTTCTGACTTCTTTCAAATTAGCAGGCTAAAAGTTAAACAGTATCTGAGTGATTGTATATGCAGATTCAACAGCAACACGCTGGAGCTTGATCCCAGTTTTTGGCTCCCCAAATCACCAACAGGGTAAACCCTATGCAAAGTCACTCCAGTCTAAGACCATTAAAATCAGTGGGATTAAAGTGGAATAACTCTGCATGGGACAGCATTGTGAATCACTAAACCAGCTGTTATGTATAACAAGTGTTGAGAAATAAAATAATTGTGGCCAACTAGACAGTTTGTGTTTCTCTCAATATAGCTTCTACCAGTCTTTCTTTTTCTTTTTTTTCTTTTTTGGTATAACAGTGGAATCCATTTACTAACAGATTCTTCATACTGGAGCCAATTCCAGGGCCAAATAATATTCACTGGATCACCCAGCTAACTGAAACCATTGGTAGATTATTGTGCTCTTACAGACTACCAATCGAACAGCAACCTTCCACCAGTTAATGGCATAATGAATATTCATCTTATTTACCAGTCAGGGCAAGCACTGATCAAGATGCCTTGTCCCACCAGGTCTCTAAAATACAAACAAGGACCTCCACACTCTTTGCAAATTTAATGACTTAATGAATGTTTTATTTAACAAAATTGCATGCAACTTCAAAAGCAAAGACAAGATGTGCTATTGGAATGAGCCTAGAGATTCTAGCAAAGATCATCGCAGACACCACTAGGCTGGCCCTGTGTCACTTTCCCACACCTGACCGCCTTCTCTCCCCATTTCCCATCTCTTCATCAGCCAGCAAAATGTCTCCTAAAATGAGACTCTACCAAACGCCAGCTAATCCCAGGTGACATTCAAGGCTGAAGGAAGTGTCTTTCAGGACAAATTCAGCTTGGATACAGCTGAAGAAAATTACGCCTCTCATGCAGAAGTGCCCTCTCACCATTCCCAAACCTTGTAGTATTCTAGTATAGATTTTAGTATTGTATCAATCTATCACTCTCCCAACTCAACAAAACATAGATGGGAATGATCCCGCCCCATCCTTTTCTGGGATTTGCCCCCAAAATTTCCAGTGCAGAAGTTGAGAATGTAGAGAAAATTGAACTTACAGAATATTTTCTTTTTTAGAACACAAAGAAATCTGTTTTAACCCAATGTTACAGAATTTTAGGGGTTTTATGTCTTCTATTATGCAATAATGGAGCTGCAGTGGCTCAAGTGGTTAAGACGCTGAACTGCAGGCTGTGGAAGGTCAGGAGTTCAGCAGTTCGAGACCCGGGTGCCGCAAGACGGAGTGAGCTCCCGTCTCTAGTTCCAGCTCCTGCCAACCTAGCAGTTTGAAAGCAAGAAATTGCAAGTAGATAAATAGGTACCACTTTGGTGGGAAGGTAACAGTGTTCCGTGCGCCTTGGTGTTTAGTCATGCCAGCCACATGACCATGGAAACGTCTTCGGACAGCGCTGGCTCTTCGGCTTTGAAACAGAGATGAGCACCGCAACCCTAGAGTCGGATTCGACTGGCTTTCGAGCAAAGGAACCTGTACCTTTACCATGCAATAACTAGGTCAGTAACTATGTAAGATAATTACAATTCCTTTATACAATAAAAATGTAGAACTCTTAAATCACTCTCTTATTTCAGAATCTTCCACCTGCAACATTTTAAAAACTGATCTAGATTTGGAAATACACGCCAAATCATGAAATAAGCAAAAAGTGACACACAGTATTAGAGAGAGCTTTCAACTCATACAAACCTTCAGCTCTCTGAATGCCCTTGAAATAAAAAATAAAAATCAGAATCAAGATTATCAGTTGTTAGTTATCTGAAAGGATTATTGTTTCCTGTCTGGTGATATGTACACTAACCCAATTATTGCCTCTATTGGACGTATGTTCTAGTTTTCATATTCTGTGTGCCCTACAAAGCTTTATACAACCTTAGGAACTAGAGAGTGTGCATGGAGCTGTAAAGGAATGTCCTACAGACTAACCTGATCTGGAATAGGACCTATTTCCTGTCCCTCCCCCGGCCGCTTCCTCTAGTAATTTCTAGAAGAGGCTGCAACTGTGGTTGTTACATGGAGGTGAGAATGGAATAGTAATGGTGGCAGCTGCCAAACAGCAGAGCAGCCATTATAGTTAAAATCTGAAAGAAGTTTAAAATCTTCATTATCTTAGCAACTGAAGGATGGTCACAGACTTACTGGAACCTTTCTTTTACAAATGCTAGAATTTTTCAAGCTTCCATTTGTTCTAATTCAAATGTCAGCTTTCAGCCGCCACACTGCCAGAGCACAATAAAATGTGGGAGATGCCTTTCCTCATTACTGGAAAAATGGAAAGAGACTGGCATAACTGAGATTTATCATATGCATAACTGTCATGTTGCAAAGGATGGGTCTCAATGGAGCTTTTGGCCCTAAGAAGCTAAATGCCCTTTCAAAACAAAAATATAAATGGTTGCCAGACCTAAAGGAAAATTCTGTTTCCAGCAAAAGGTTTCAAAATATACTTCCAGATGACAAGGAATATAAAGGACACGCTTTATGTAATCTGCTTAGCTTTAGGCTCAAACACAGCTATAGGCAAGCACATCAGGGGTGCAATTTAAGAGCACGTTTGGCTTGCCAAAGAATGTGGTCAAGATTTCCAAGAGAAAACTGTCCTCACCTCTGAGGACTATTATATTTAGTCTGAGGCTCACTAACCAGCTTGTTCCTGATGTCCATGTCACAGAGTGCTTCAGCCAAGATAGAGCAAGCTTCCTTCACTCCCCAGTGTGCAGCAGCATGGAGTGGAGTCCAGCCATCACTGTCCTGGACATTTACATCAAACCCAACTTGAATCAAGAGCCTAAGGAAAATAAGCGAGTGAAAATGCAGCAGTTCAGTCATGCAGTTTAACAGCCCCTGTGAACAGTGTGAGTAGCTTCATGAAAGGGGCTGTCCCTGTGTCACAGACTAGCGTGGAAAAGCAGACAGCTTAAAAAGGTCAAATTTAGAGTAAAGTTAACAGCTTCCATTAATGCAGTTGGTGCTGGTGACTAGTTTTGATGATGGCTGAGATCCAGAAGATGTGTCGTCAATAGATAGCAGTAGGCAGATGTGTTCTAGGGAAGTGGTTTAAGTGGGAAGAAGCAAATCAAAGGACAAAAAGGAAAAGATGCAACAATGACATTTCTCTAATGCATTAACTTCTGAACACATCATGTAAATAAACATGGTTTTCGAACATCTGCTGTACCTGCAGCTCTCCAGAGTCTCAGGGAGAGGTTTTGCCCAGCTTTCCTAACTGAATTCCTTCTAACTGGAGATGTCAGGGATTAAGAACGGGACTTTCTGTAAAACATGGGCTCTGCAACTGAGCTATGGCCTTCACTCTCTAATAACAAATTTTTCAAATTCCCTTCATCCACACTTCATTTCTACCCAACTACTGAAGCATTAAATGATGACACTCATTTTCTCCACCTTCCTGCAACATCCAAGAAGGGAGCAGGGAGGTGGGATTGATCCTACGCAACATTCCTGAAAGGGAGAAGGGGCTGGACAAGTGAATATGATGCTGTGCTCTACAAGTCAGATAAGATTGCTCCTATGCTGCTCTTCATCCAAGGGGCTAACATTCCTATGGTCATTGTACATTACTGTAATGATGCAGAAAGACTGTTTGCTCAGTCTCATCATACAGCTGATCCCTCTAAAATGTTATGCTCAGAATGCAGAGTCAACATTCAGAAGTTCTTTGAAACCAATTATGACAAGGAAATGATAAAGGAAAGTTAAACAAACACTAAAAATTTTACCATGTACCTTACCACTCTGCTTTTTAGAGCTTAGCTTAAAAAAAAACTGATACCTTCATGAATAAATGAAGAACCATTTTTAAAAGCCATATGTCAAACTCGAATTCATATGCTAGCATAGAACAAATGGTGGAAGCATAAAGAATCAATTATCATACAAACCTAAACAGGGACACCTGCCAGTGGGTGCCATGCAAGTAGAAAAAATGAAACATTTGTGGACATAAAGTAACAGTGATCGATCATCAACTATAAATACATTTAGAGATGATTTCTAGTGTAAAGAAAAGGATGAACAGACTAATGACAAGAAAGCATCAATAAGCAACTTTCTGCTTGTCAAAGAAGAGAACTACTAAAATGGGGAGTAGAATGTTCATTCTCAAATGCTGATATCTGCTGGTCTCTCAGCTGGCCAGCACTAAGTGAAGTCTTGCCCTGGAAAAGCAGCACAAAGCAAGCAACTTCACAAAGGGCTACAATCAACTGATAACTTTTCCTGTGAATGAGAAGTAGGCAAATCATTCATACTTGCACATGCAAATGCTGCAGTGTCAGCTAAGCCTCTACCCAGCAGTTACAGTCCTATCCTGCAGTTGCAAAGCTTGGAACACAAACCTTATCCATTAGCCAGCTGCAAAGACAGACAGCTATACACTACCTCGGAACCACTATTGAATTATGTACATCTTATATTTTACTGCCTGCAGCCTGAATAAAGAGGCAACTCCATTTCAATTCCTTTTTCAAGAGAACTTGGAAATATTTATTTTCAGGGGTATAAATAAATAACTGAAATGCTGCAACTGTTTATCATTAGAGTGTCAGCTCCAGAACACAGTGAGGTCAGGTATTAAGTGCAGGTCCAAGACCCTCTAAGGCCCACTAAAATGAGAACACAGCCATGCTCATTCTGCTAGGAAGCCAGAGGTTACATCCAGTGCACCCAGCCTGCCTCACTCAGATTAAAGAAGCCTACAGAATGTGCCTTGTCCAACAGCCCCTTTGTACCTGGCACTAAATCTGTACTTAATCACAAGAGAAGATATAAACACACAATCCCAGGCAAAAACTGCCACGAATACTACCATTTTGCACACAAGGAATCCATTACAATAGTACCAAGAACCCCTAAATTAGCACAGTAAACAAAGAAAATTGATTAGTACCTCATGACTTCAGAGTAGCCCTTTCCTGAGTGTGCGCATACATGAAGAGGGGTAGCCCCAGTTCGGGGATTTTTTCTATCTTCAATTTTCCGCCTGTTTAGCCACTGCCGTGCATCCTGCAGCATTTGTTGCTCTTCTGCTTTCCTTGCTTGATCCAGATCTGTCCCTGGAGAAACAGACTACAAGTGTAAAAAAAAACACACCCCAAAGTGGAACAAAAATGGATATAGGGAAGTGCATGCAAGTCTAAGGGCCAATTGAGTGGTTAGCAGATATTAATTAGATGCTTTTTTATTTTCCTGGCACAGATTTAATTTAAAGACTTATATCTCATTTTCTCCTATAATCAAGGCAGCGCTTTTTTTGCCATTGAGACGCAGCTGACTTAGGGTGACCCCGTAGGGTTTTCAAGGCAAGAGATGTTCAGAGGTGGCTTGCCTTTCATTGCCTCAGTGGTCTCCCATCCGAACACTGACCAGGGCTGACCCTGCTTAGCTTCCAAGATTGGGCTAGCCTAGGTAACTAACAACTTTATAGTACTTGCTATTTTTAATTACCATTTTCTAATTATAACTTGAACGGAACTTGCCTCTCTCACTCAGTGTTTTCAAGGAGCTAGCCATCATGATCCCAATGACTTATACTACAGAATTTAAAAGCTACAAGCCTATCACTAAAACAGTGTGGGGGGGGTGAATTTTAAAACAAGCAGCCGCTGGGAGAGCCCAACTTAATTGCCATGCTGATACAAATTTACTGTTGATAGAAACACTGGCTGGTTGTTAAATTGTAAACTGCAGCAAAATATACTACTTTAAACTGCCTGCCTACTCCCTTAGTATATTTGCTAAAAACCCAGGCTCCCTTTACATGGACAATCGCCGCCGCCCCCCCCCACCCTATAACTATAACAGTAACTGTTGTAGAAGTTTATTAAAAAGGAAAAAAAAGTATAACCCCCCCAAATAAATAGTTAAATAAACATTCAGGTATCTTAAAACTTTAAAATAAACCCTCGAAAGCCTCAAGAGCTCTAATAAGCTTCAGACGTTTTCTCGCCACTCCCTCATCCACACTCTCGCTCAAGTAGATAACCGAGAGAGGGAGAGAAAGAAATACTAAGATTAAAGCTACATGAAGATCGAAGCTACATACTAGAGATTAAAATAGGGAGGATAGAGGCAAAAGAAGGGAGGGGAAGCGCAGCCTACCGATGTCCTGTGCAGTCAAACCGGAACCAGACAAGGCACCACCCTCTACCTGGGAATCTCTGTTTTATTTGCTTAGAGACAATGATCCTAAGATTACTTTGGCAGCAGCAAAATTTGTTTCAATCCTTTTATCCCTTGCATCCAAAAAATAAAGAAGACTTTCCACCCCCAGCTGCTCTAGATTCATAAATCGATGAGCTTCTGAGGGAATGAAAGGAAAGGATCCCCATGATCTCTTTCTTGGTTAATCACTACTAGGTCAAACTCCATCACCAATAATTTAAAATTCTTTTGCCTCAATTAGCAACAGTGTACAGTTACTTACAATGAATGTAAATTATCCTGGTTATCCTAGTTAGTCGGGAAGAAAATTAGGCCACGCTGGTAAATAGGAGAAAAAGAGGAGGAGGAAGGGGCATGGGAGAACAGTTTATTGGACCTTTTAGATCCCAAAGCATTTCACAATGAGCTTTGTTGGGGATCTCAATCAGAAACTTCTCTAGCTCCCACCCTGACAAAGATCTGACAAAGATCATTGCAAAACATGTTGGGATGTAAAAGGTCAAATAAACTGCTCCCCCTTGCACCTTCTTCCTCCTCTTTTTTCCCTAGTTTAGTGTCATCTACAAGCTTGGCCCTCACTGCTCACTCCAGACTCCAGATTTTTATTTTAGAAGGTTAAATAGAACTAGTCCAAACACAGGTCTTTGGAGGACACTACTACTTGCTTTTCTCCACTGTGAAACTGTCTTGTTTAATCCTACCCTCTACTTCCCAATGTTTAATCCATAATCAAACCACAAGGACCCGTCTTTCTATTTCATGACAGGTAAATTTATTCAGGAATCTATTATGAGGAATGGTAACAGCAGCTTTTTAGAAGCCCATCTGTATAAAAGCTCTCAGATCACCCCACCAACATGTTCATCAAGATTCTTAAAAAACTCTCAAAGACTTCCTTTTGCATTAATAGGATGTGACTATGCAAAGCTGATATGTTTACTGGAAGTATTAGCTGGCATTTTTGCTCTCTAAAGCAATCAGTTTTAAGGAGAATATGCAGTTTCAGTGCACCCAGAAGCAGTATTTTAATTTGTTAAAAAGCTGCGCTAACATCTTTTTTTAAACATTTTTATCTCTACACACTACAGGGTATAGGGAAACGGAGTAAACTAAACTAAAATACAGAGTAAGCAGGGATCAAAAAAGGTTCTAAAATTCGGTTATCTAATGTTTCTTCATAATTTAGCTTTTACATAATTGGAGATTAAAAGTTAGTATTTCTATCTTAAGCAATACAAACAAAGTAAACTGTAGTGTGTGCATCGTAGTAAATAGACAAAGAAAAGAAAAAACAGACTTTCAGGATCGGGTTATTTAGCTGATTTTTTCCCTCCACGTTTGTTCTTATCAAAGGGCAGCTTGACCTTAAACAATTTAGGAGCTGTGGCTCCTAATTCTGATTCAGAGTCAACATCTTCCTCAGAGGAGCTACTTGGAGAGCTATTACTGCTTCTGGAACCATGTTCTCCTGTGACAATATTGTCCTCTACTTTTCCTTTTTCTTTTGCTGGGCTTTGATGCTGTTCCAAAAGTGCTGTTGCTTTAAGGACAGAGTCAATCTTTTCTTTTTTCTTTTTGAAGTTGAAGATTATCCCTTCTGGGATTATCCATATGTAGGGAGTGGAATTTTTCTGTAGAAATAAAGTCAAATTTTTGTATTGTTTCCTCTGCTTTCTCACCTCAAATGGAACATCTTTTAAAATTTTCACTTCTTCTCCTTGTATTTTTAAGGTTATTCCATTAGTTGCCTTCAGTATCATATCTCTTGTTGACCTTTTAGAGAATTTCACAAATACTTCACCAGGCAGTTTATTTTTTTTAATAAATTCTGGATAGGTTCGCTTTGTAGAAGTTTCGCTTTACAACCTGCCACGGAAGCTAGGGCTTCGCTTAAAATCTCTTTCAGGTTCTCATCTTTTTGTTCTGGAACACCTTGAAATCTCAGGACATATGCTGACCATTCCAGCTGAAGTTGTAACATCTGTTGTTTCTCTGAGGTCCTCTCTTTTTCCACTGCCTCCATTCTCTGGTTCAGTACATTTGTCTTCTCATCAATCTTTTTCAGCTTTTTAGTTGTCTTCTCTGTTCTTGCATTGGTTTCTTTCAGTTCTTTTTGTAGAGCTTCAGAGTTATTGTTCAAGTTAGTCATCTGGTCCAGTAGAGGGCGCAACACTGCAGTAATCATCTTGGAGACATCTGTGGTTATTTCTGGTCTGGGAGCCGGAGATGATGAGCTAACAGTTACTGAAGAAGGTTTCCCTCTAGACGCCATTTTTTTCACCTCGATGAGATATTGTTTACATTAAAAGTAAACATTTTTTACTGCTTCTGAAAGTCTTTTAAAGTGCACAATTTCTACTGGTCTGCACACCGGTCAGTTGAGTTAACGTTCTCCCATCAAAGCCACCATTTTGCCCCTCGCTGTCTTTCTTTTTCGGTTGCTCTTTCCGGGGTAGGGTAGCCTCCCCCCCTTCGCTGTATTTGGGGTTACACTGCGGTTTTGTGGGTTGCATCTAAACACTTACACAAATTGCCAGATAGTCACTCACGCTTGGCTCCTCGGCTTGTGCCCCAAAGCGAGAAAATTCTTTTAATGCCACATCTCCTGCTCACTCATTCCAGTATGCTTTTTTAGTCCCATGGCTGGTCTCACACCAGTGGGACCTATCAGGACAAAGGAAAGCCTCGATCCCTCTGTCGTTGCCTTGGGAGAGGCTTCCCTTGTGCCCCAGGCTATGAGCCCTCTCTGAGGCCTCTGGGGGGGCCTGGTATGGTCCGAGGCCCCTCATCAGAGCTATGATGGAGCACACCCGCCAGCAAGATGCCAAAGCCGGAAGTCCCAAAAGCTGCGCTAACATCTTCTTAAAGGTGCGGACCCTCCCTCCCCCCACAAAGTCCATTGGCTTGTCTGGTACACTAACCCAACCTTCTAGCACTCCAATTGAATATCATGCCTCCAGACCAAGAAGCCCCACACACAACCATCATAACGCTGCAGTAGAAGAAATAAAAAAGCAAAACCTTGTTTCTAACTTAATTTGTGCCCTGGATGGCACTGTGCCATGGATTTCAATGAGTGTAACTCTTTCTAGCTTTAGACTAGTTGACTCACAACAGCTCTGGCTATAGACCTATGAAACCCTGGCTCAAAATAAGCCTGACACCAAACTAGATGAGACACATGAGCTTAACTTAAAAAAGAAAGAAAGAAATACAACTTCACGTTGCACTGAAATGCTGCAGATTTTCTTCAAGACACATTGCTGGGGGGGGGGAGTATAAACTACTACTTTGGATAGACCTATTACCTTTGTATAGTCACACTATTATTAATATGACTAATTTTCTCTAAAGTAGTAAAGAAACAAAAAAGTTTCTAAGTAAGCTGTACAAAATCACAGCTTTGCATTTTTGTACACCCAAATTTTCTCAAGTAAATTAGGGTTATGAATGACAAAGTTTGCACAACTATTACATAGGACTATAAGTTTTCGTTTACATTTCAGTCCTTCCAGTATAGGTGGGAGGTATGAGCACTAGAATTAACCCTGATTACTGTAAGTGAGCAGGCTCCAGGTTCCTACAGCACCAGCAGTCACTAAATTCTGTAACATTAAATAGCTTTTGTTTCCAAGGCAACATAACAACACAGTTAGAAACAACTGCATTTTCACTGCAGCTCCCTGTGTGGCTTCTAGGCAAATGTCCACATTTCTCAAATAAAAGTGGCCAAACTGCTGAAATCAAATAAAGAAGAATCCCTAGATACAGTGTCCAAGGGCCAGCCATTTGTACAAAATTAACCTTGTAGTTTCAAAGGAAAACTGAACCAATACAGTGGCTTTTCTGCAAGTCCCAATCAAGAAACATAGCATCTCCTTTTCATAGTATATTATTTGTACTTGCCTAAACAGAAAGGCTGAGCTAGTACAGCCACAACAAATGCCAGAATAACCAGTGTTGGCAGGCAGGCAGAATGATATTGTGACAATTTTAAGCCTTATAAATACTCCAAAGGAAAAGAGGATAAGAGAATGTTGTGTCAACACAAAATTTACCTTAGGCTTGTTTCATACACAAAGGGTCCTTAAGCAAGTAATTCTACATCTATCATGCAGTCAATCTAAAGACTGTGCTGGTCTAAAAAATTCTCTGCTGACAAGGCCTTCAGCAACTTCAGGGGGGGGAAGATCATGGCTGCAATCCTGTGTTCATATTTAACACTGACAAAACCCACGACATTCTTCATAGCCAACAGCATTAGACCCACAGGAATGATACCAGTAAGCCACAGAATGGTTTGTTTTCAGAAGTTTTAGTCTTTGTGTACATTCTACATTTTAGAAACATGTGAACATATGTTCTACATGCCAGGCATCATTGTTCCTAATGTTTTACAGGAGAAATGAAGATTCAACCTTCTTTTATCCTTTTTTAATGCAACCTATAGGATGAATAGGATGCAGCTGGCTTACCTTGCTTCTTTACTTGTTCCAACAGCAAATCCTTCATGGCTTCTTCCTCTGCAAGGTCAGATGGGACTTCGCCTTCACTGTTCACTGCAGCTACGTTGGCCCCACGACTTATTAAGTATCTACATTATAGAGAGCCATATGAGACTAACTTCAGAGCAAGAAAATACTTGGTTGCATTTGGTGGCAAATAAACATTTTACCAATGAATCTAGAATTTATCCAGCTACTGGCAGTTACCTGTCTGATCACTACAGTGCCCAAAGCAAACAGCCAATTTCACTCAAACCATTAAGGTGTTCTTTAAATAACGTGGCACCTTTATAACTAAAAGTTTTTAGAAATAATCAAATATTTTGTTCTGTTTTAATGTGTTTGGTCCAATTTGTTTTAAAAAGCTATTTGTTAGCATATATGTCTAGAGAACAAAAACAACATTCTGCATTATTTAGACTGAGCAGCAAGAGGCCACCATCCCCAAAAGACTTTCCCAAAATATAATGTCTGGCTATCCTTACCAGGATTTTCTGCACAAGAAAGTGGAGAGGAAGGAGGAAGACACACACAATTGCCCAGCAACAAGCCAGGTTTGTGCACATCCAAGCTTGATGCGAAGTGTCTTAATGCAGCCACTGTTCCTTAATTATGCAGTTCTCTGGCTCCATCTATTCTAATTGTCCTTTTGTTAACTCTCACTGACCAGAATCTCACAGTAAATGGAACCATCATCTCACTGTATTTCAGTGTGCCCAGGACTATCAGAAAATGTCCCAAAGGCCCTTCAATTACAGAGACCACTGCCCAATCTTCAAGAGCAGATATCTGCACCCAAAGTGCTTCCATATACTTCTTACTTCCTAATCCAAACCTTAACAAAGGCTAATCTTGGCATCTGTACATTCCTAGGAAAGTAACTGTTGAAATGTTAAAGGCTTTGTCTTAGGAAGCCTAACTAGAGTCCAGCACACAATGACATTATGCCTTCAGTGCCAAACAGTGGCTTCTGGATACAACAACCCGCCCACTTATTTTAGATAGGTTGCATGAAGAACCAGACTGAAATTAATAAAAGCTAAAGTGCTATTAGAGCTAAAGGAGATACAAGTCCATATTTGTTCATACTATCATACAGTGCCAATACCAAAGTGTAAAGGTGTCAGACTGCAATAAAAGGCATGCCATCACATGCAAGTCATGATTCCTCTACCATTACAACTACTCCAAAAAGTTTAAACAAAAAAAATTGCCTCTTATGTTTAATTTCAGAGAATCAACAATTAGTTGTAGTGCAGCTGGGTGACACTGAATTACCCATACAAAAGGAATACACATACCTTTCAACCCCTATGGTTACATTTGCTTAGGGAACTCTTGAAAAAACCATCCCTGGATACGGCCTAATTGGCTAACTATCGGCTGGTCTCCAATTTGCCCTCTTTGGGCAAATTAATAGAGAGGGCGGTGGTGATACAGTTGCAGAGCTTTCTGGATGACACTTCCATGCTTGATCCCTACCAGTCCGGCTTCCGCCCGGGTCACAGAACGGAGACAGCACTGGTCACCCTCACGGATGACCTCCGTAGGCATCTGGATCAGGGCGTGACGGCGGTGCTGCTGTTGCTAGACCTGTCGGCAGTATTCGACACAGTCGATCATCAGCTGCTCACCCACCGCCTTGCCGACGTGGGGATTCAGGGGCTTGTCTTACAATGGCTTATCTCCTTTCTCCAGGGTCAGGGACAAAGGGTGGCTCTTGGGGTATATTGGTTTTACTGATCTTGTAAGCTGCCCTGAGCCACCTAGGCAGGAGGGCGGGATAAAAGTCGAACAAATAATATATATATATATAGATTAGCTTAAGGAGTAGTTCCCTAATGGTAGCCAATCATTCAGGCAGCCCTTCCCACTCATCTTCCAATACTGAAATTTTTAAAACTTGGTTTATCCTGAAACTCACTCACTCTGCTATGTTCAGATAGCCACAAGATGCAACTGCATGAAGTGGGGTCCAGCCCTCGTTGTCTTGCTGATTTACATTGGCTCCATATTCTACCAGGAACTTTTCCATCTCCAG